GTTATGACTACCAGGATTATGTTTTCAGAACTGGCATGGGTACTGACAATAACGTTTCCATCAGCGGTGGAACAGACAAAACAAAATACTATGTATCCGGTTCTTATTTCTACAACCAGGGTATCGTGAAAAACACTGACTACCGTCGTTTCAGTTTCAGGGCAAATGTTGACCAGACATTAAACCGCTGGCTCAGCGTGAACATCGGGTTGAATTACATCAATAGTGCTTCCAATGAAAAACCTGATGGTAACTCATTCTTCTCACCAATGAATTCACTTACCATCATCGGTAACTTCCACGACATACAATCGCGTGACGCATTGGGAAATATCAAAGCCATTGGTGAAAGAGGTCGTGTAAACCCTGTTTCCATCATCGAAGATTTTAAACAACGTAGTGAAACCAACCGTATCATCAGTAATCTCGGTTTAAAGCTAAGACCCATCAAAGGACTGACCATCGACTACACAATGGGTATCGACAACTATGGTCAGAATGGTACTACTTATATGCCGCCGTTCGCCTACAACGTAAGTACTGCCTTTTTCGGTGGAGCTGCTACACTTGATCCAACACTCAATGGATACGCCAGTACAGGTAATGATAATTTTTTCCAAATCAATAATGAATTGAACGGAACGTACCAGTTTAATATCAATTCAGATATTGGTTCAACCACACAGGTTGGTTATTCATTGCAGTATGAAAAGAACCGTTATGCCTTGTTGCAAGGAAGAGGTCTCAGCCCATTCGTACAAACAGTAAACGGAGCGAGTACCGTATTGGCTGCTGTAGATGACAGGAATGAACTCTCAGTCTCAGGGGCGTATGTACAGCAGAATTTCAAGTTTAAAAACCAGTTGTTTGTTACAGGTGCTGTACGGCTGGATGGATCTTCTGTATTTGGAGAAGATGAGCGCAACCAGGTATACATTAAAGCAAATGCGAGCTACCTTCTTTCAGAATCTAAGTTCTGGAAAGAAAGCATGAGTTGGTGGAACCTGCTGAAATTCCGCGTTGCTTATGGAGAATCAGGTAACCTCACCGGCATCGGTGCATACTCAAGATTCAATTCGTATTCATCAAACGCATACTTGAGCAGAACGGCACTTACTTCCAGTTCAACGCTTGCCAACGAACAGGTAAAACCTGAAAGGCAAAAGGAACTTGAGTTAGGAACGGACATGTCGCTTTTTGGCGACAGGATTGCCCTGACCGTAAACTGGTATAAGAAAAGAGTCAATGATATGCTCATCAACCGGGTTATCGCACCTACGAATGGTTTCTCCAGCCTGCTTGACAACTTTGGGTCGCTTGAAAATAAAGGATATGAAATCCTTCTAAAAGGTTCAC